GCCAATTGTGCGAGAACAGGTCGATCAGTCGTCCTCTGCCCTACCAACTCACCTCTCGCCTTCGACCGAGCCTCCCTGTTCGGCTCGTCTGAAAGGTAACATCTTTGAGGCTAATCTTTCCGCCTTCAGAGCCATATTGCAGTCTTCGTCCACGGAGTATACATTATGGATGGCCACCTTTTCTTGAATTGAGTACTTCAAACCACCGATATACATGGCTGCGAGTTGTTCCTCGCTCATCAACAAATCGCAATGAGAAGTAAGACGGAAGAACTCTTCGGTATAGGCACTTACTATTCAGATTCCTTGACGATATTGCTCGAACTAATTGTAGAGGATTTGTTGATAGTCGGGTGTAGAAATCTTGCCTGTAACAACTGCTTCATGCGTCGCCAAACCCTAACTGGTTGTTTACCTTGCCGTCGCCTAGTGTTTTAAGTTTGATCCCACCATGCTGCGGCTCCTCCTTTGAGATGATACGTCACAAACTTCACTTGATTTTCTTCGAGTACATTAGCCATCTCAAAGAACTTATCCACTTCATATAGCTAATCCAAAAAAGTCTCTATGTCCAGATTTCCTCCAAAGGAAGGGAGCTCTACCTTCATCCGGTACTCTTGGTCGTGGTGATATCCGCCTGTCGGTGATAGTTACGATGAGGGTTGAAGCCTCTGTCCCAACCTCTTCTATAAAGTCGCCCTCCTTCTTCTTCGCTCGAGACGTTGTCGTATCATAGTCCCTCAAATTGGGCACCATAGTCTGCTCCTTCGTCACTGGATTCATCACGTGGAGGGGTTTGATTGGGATGCCGTCTATGATGTGGAGGGGGTTGATATGGAGGGTTTTGGTTTTGATGTGGTTGATGTGGAGGGGGATGAACTGGAGGGGGTTGGGGATTGTACGGGGGTGGATGTCGGGGTAGCCTAACTCTGGGTTCGCTTAGGTGAAGACCATCGGTGAAGTTATTCCCATTGTTGAGGTGAAGTGTAAGTCCTTCAATGGCTTGTTGAAGGTTCTGAAGAGACGCCTCCAGCGTGCCAAATCTTCCATCCATAGAATCCATCCTCGCGGAAAGATCCTGTAGAGAAAGATCATTCTCGCCGTCACCTGCCATTGATGAGGATGTTAAAGCCGAAGCTCTGATACTACTTGATGCAGACGTAGAAATGGGGAGGCCGATCGGATATCGTTCTGATACCGACGAGCCCTGACAACAACAAGTATTTCACGAGCTTGAATCCACAAGCTCTAAGTTTCTCAAAGTTGAGAACGAAAACAAAGAGACAACAAGTATTTCACGAGCTTGAATCCACAAGCTCTAAGTTTCTCAAAGTTGAGAACGAAAACAAAGAGAAAATTCTCTTAATTGAATAATTGAACCACAAGCTCTAAGTTTCTCAAAGTTGAGAACGAAAACAAAGAGAAAATTCTCTTAATTGAATAATTGAAAAGTTGATTAACAATTTACAAAAGGAACTAATATTTATACTAAATCTATCCTGACTCTAATAAAAAAGAAACTCTAATCCTAAAAGGAAAATACCAAATCCCAAAAGGAAACAAACAAAAAGGAACTCTTTCCTAATCTAAAATATGAGTCGACATGAGGCGTGCCGACTAGCACCGTCTTTCATGTCGACTGGACCTAAGTCGACTAAGCTTGTCGAGTCGTCCTGCCTTTCGTGTCGACCGGCATGTGTCGACTCGTCTGGTTCGAGTCGTCTAGTCTCGTCTCGTCCAACTGTTCAGTCGACTTAGCTGCTTTTCTTCTCGAATCGTCCAATACTTGATCTCCAGCATCATGTATCAATAAAAGTAAAATTGTATATCGCGGAAGCATTGAATTGACAAAAGAGAAGTATTTCAGGTCTTTTGACCATTGACCTTCGGAAGGTGAGATAAAGATAGACCTATCCATCCGGGCCGGCCCGGCCCGGAAATCAGGGCCCGGGCCGGGCAAAACTTTTGGACTCAAAGTAATGCTTTCTAAAATACCTTAAGTTTACCTAATGTTTTCTAATGTTTTGCTAAGGGCCCGGGCCGGAAATCCAAGAAAGAAATGCTTTGCTAAAGAACTAAGTTCTATTTAAATTCACATACGTCTACAATTACTTTTGGACTCAAAGTACTTCACCAAACTTTTTACTCCTACCTACTTTAAAAAAGGTAAACTTCAGTTTCTCCCTATAGACTCAAACTTTTAACCCCATTTATTTTTGAACCACTCACTTTCAAAGTCACTTCTAGATCCAAAATTCTCACCAAATTATGTTTCTATTCTAGTAGCTTATTATATGAGAAGTAATTTTTTATTACAACTTACTAACTAAGTGGTTAGATATACAGTATTTTTTAACTAAATATTTAAACTATTCTTTTCTCTATTTTTCTTTTTTTGCAACACCAATGTCGCCCCATCACAAAATTGTTGATGATTATTTGCCTAAAAATCCAAAGTTTATTTGCCGTTATTTATTTTTGAACTCATACACTTTAAGAAAATGTTTTCTGTAAACCCAAAATTTTACCTCTGTTTAAAAATCATCCTCTTCCAAAAATCACCCTTTGTTCCAAAATACTCCTCCACATTACTTTTTAACTCATTTTGTGTTCCAACACTACGATCTATGGTGTAAATTACTAATTATACTATAATTTTCTATACTTTTCCCTAAGTTGTCATGCATGCATGCGGTGTACAATTGGAACAAAATGCTTAAACCATTTGTTTGGTTGTTTTCCCTCACACTAATTTTTGTTTATAAATCCAAAGTTTACGCTCATTTACTTTTAAACCCTTTCACTTCAAAATCACTCGTGGACACTAAATGTTCAATCAAATTATTTTTTATCATGCTATTTCAACGACTTGATATATTTCATCATTACTCGCTATAGTTTTTCCTAAATGATTAGATATACTGTGTATTTTTAAAATCAAATGCTTAAACAATTTTTCTTGTTGTTTTCATATAAAAGTCACGACATTATTGCGCGGGTCAATTTTTCTCCATTATTCACTAAAAATTCTTGCTTTCCTTCGGCTAAATTGCACTTAAATACCCTACTGTTTTCTAAAAAAAAATATATACCGTAAGTTTCAAAACCGAGCAAAATTATACCACAACTAGGCGTTTTCTCTGCATGTTTTTTTTATGACGCCGTTTAACAAATTCACACGACTGTTAGGACTCATGTATATGAGCCTACTTTTGAATCTTGTTTTGATGATTTTGCAAATAATTTATAATATGTTTTTCAGTATTTATTTTGTTCCAGGTTGAGTAACTCAAGAGCCACATTTATAACGAAGCTTATTCAATTCAAGTCAGATCCAAGATTTAGCTTCTCATGCATATCAACTTGGTACAACTAAAATAGGACTTCATATTGTGTGATTATATCTCAAGCTCAAACACACACTTTTGGTTTTAATGTGATTTTGACAATATAATGAGATATTAGTGTATAGACTTAAATTTTACTTTATACAATTATTGTTTAGTCTATAAATTCATTTGAAAAGGTTTCATATCCTTGTTTATCTCATTTGTCCAAAACTAAGAATTTTATACACTCGTTTTACATGCTTTTGCAAAACTAAGAGATTTTACAAACGGAGAATCACATTTGGAAAATTTATTTTGAAACATGCTCATTTATATGTTTATAAACTATTCTCCAAATTTTATAATTTTTGGAATTTATTTGATATTTTTAAACATGGTTTAAAGTTTAGTTTTCCTGTGCAAATCTGGTCTGTGCATGTTTAGTCGACTCATAAGTCGACTCACGAAGTGCAGCGGGGTTGTGATTTTTTGTCTGCTGAGTCGACTCATATAAGCCGACTCATTAGTCGACTCATAAGTCGACTTATCAGAGAGCCGTTGCACAGTAACAGCTAGTTTTTCTGTTTTGTGTGTTTATGACTTTTTGGTCTTTTTCTTTGGGTTTTAGCTGATGTATTGAGATGCTATATATACCCATATACTCTGAATTCTTTTTTTACCAAGAAGATTCCTTAATCAAGTTTTAAAAGAGTTTAGTTTGTGTTTAAGAGGTGTTTAAGTATTGTTTCAAGTTTGGTTTGAAGAAGAGTTTGTTTTACAAAGAGAAGCTTGCATCATTTGTTGAGGGAGTTCATCCTCATTATCCAAATCATCCTCTCTTTGTAGAGAAGTTTTCCTAACTCAACTTTCTAGCATTTATTTCTTATTAATTTTATTGTTAGTTCTTATTGAGTTAGAATTTATTTAAACTCATTTATCACGCACCCTTATTGAGCTTGTTATATCTCATATAATATATTGTTGGGTAGTGGTGTGTGATTTAGTGAGAGTGAGCTTAATTGAGTTCTCGTCAAGTGTAGAGAACAACCATTATTATATTGTGCTTATTGAGAGATCACTTGTAATACACTTGTACACCGAGAGGAGTGTGTGGTGAGGACGGAGTCGATACCGAGAGGAGTGGCGTCGGTGGCCTAGTGAGAGGTGATAATTCCGAGCACTTGAGGGAGTCGATACGTGAGGACCAACACTTGAGGTTGTAGCTTGTGTATGTATATTGTGAGATTTTTGTGAGAGTTGTCGGTTGACTTGATAACCGAGTGTGTAGAGAAGTTCCGACTTCCAAACCGGGTGTGTCGTAATAGTGGAGATCTCCTCAAGGTGAGGAGCGGAGACGTAGGTCGTGAGAACCGAACTCCATGATCATATCTTGTGTTTGAGTTTGCCTTGTGTACTTTTTTTTGTGCTTGTATTTTTCTTTCTGACTTATATATCTCCGAGAAGTTTTAATTAATCAATGAAGTTTTTAAATTGGTATAAAATTGTATTAGATTAGCATAAGACCCTAATCAACTCCTCTGGGGGTCTAACAACGACGAGTAGCACGGGAGATATTTTTGCTCTATTTTGAATTTTTGGGCACATAAGTGTTTTTTCGGAAACTATAAAGGATTTAAGTGCAGTTTAGCTTTCTTTGTGCCCCTCCCCTTCCCTTTTTCGCGGTTTATTAGGAAAGTCAGCAACGCTCGCAAGAAAAAGCCCATCATTTCGTGCCCCGTTTCTCGTTCTTTCTACGGTCCCTTTTCTTCTCCGTCTCTCTTCGAAGAGCTCCGACGCCCATCAGATCAAAATCCAAAACCCTAACCCTAGCGCAAGAAGAACAAGAAGGAGCAGCAGGAGCAGGGGAGAGAGAGAGAGAGAGATCATTAATCTCGAAGAGGAGGCAGATGGAGAGCGAGTCTCCATTGGTCCCTTTCCCGCTCCTCCAAACCCCGATCGAAACCAACTACAGGGCCTGCACGATCCCTTACAGGTTCCCCTCCGATAACCCTCGCAAGGCTACTCCCGTCGAGATCCAGTGGATCGATCTCTTCTTGAGCTCCGTCCCCTCCTTCAAGTGAGAATTCATCCATCTCTCTCTTTCTCTTTCGTTGTGCTGTTACTGTTTGATATCAAGCTAGGGTTTTTAAGGTTGATGTGCTTGTATGAGTTTATAGAGGGACTCTCTTTGACATTGAACTAATGTTGCTTATTTATGTGCTCGTGTTAAAGCGAGTTGCATTTTGTGAAGTTGCGGACGAAATTGATGGTGGCCGGATGAAATAGATTTGGACTAACCGAACTGGATCAAGTCAGATTGACCGGCCGGTGCAGTGCAGCTTGCGTCTGGACCGTCCAGTTAAGAAAACAACCTATTTTAGCCAAGAAAAAGTAAAAATAAAAATAAAAAGTAAACGTCTTCCTTACCCACTCCTCTCACTCAAATCCTGCTCTAAAAGTTAATATTTTTTCCAGTCAATAACACTTGGATCTTTACCAATTAAGATCGATCACAGAATTATGGGAGCTGTGAAGCAGCAAACACAATACAAAATCGAGGGAAGTGAGAGGAAATTTGTGTTCTAACGAAAAGAAAAAAGGACGGGTTTAGATAACTGACCTTAAAGCGGTCGGTTTGGATTGAAATATTCTAAACCTGAATGGATCCAAAAATATTCTAAAACCAAATGGAACGGGTTGGTTAAATCGGTTCACAGTGATCAATGCTTATCCTTACTAATTGTTAGTACCTCCACATTGTCAATTTGATCCAATGATGAACCAAAGTATCCGCTGTAGTATGCTATACGAGGTGGATTGGTTCATGGATACTTAAGGGAGTTTGATGAAAGAATCCACTGTTTTATCAGTTTCCTTCTAAAAAAATGTATAATAACATTGCCATCGAATATGAGTATATATAGAAGAAAACCATTGAAAAGGGAAAGTCAATTGGAGAATCGGTTTATGGCCTCTTTGTGATCCTTAGCTTCAAATGTTCCATAAAAAGGATAATTAATTGGAGAACTCGTTTCTGGCTTCTTCATAATTCTTCAGCTTTAGATGCACCTTCAGTCTGAGGTCTGGTGGGACTTGTGGTAGCTGAGTTCCCCTTCAATTTGAGGTCTGATTGAAGCTATCTAGTAAATCAAGATCATACAAATAGGGAACAAGATTGCCCCCCCACCCCCACCCCCCAAATAACATCATTGTCAAAATGACAAGTTGTTCCGTCTTAAACTGAAAAAGTGATGGATGAAAATAAATTAGACAAACAACAAGAGAACATATATCACAAAGATCAATGTACCAAACGAATGATATAGGTCAGCAACATAGAATTATAGAATTTGGCATTAATTTGAGGGGGAGAGGGATTTGGAGTTACCATAGACAGGGTTCAGTAAAGGTAAGATAACTTGCATGACGATATTAGTTCTAATTACATCAAGGTATAATTAAATAGCAATCATCATTCTAGACTTCTGTAGCATTTGAAACTAGGAAGTACGTGCGCGCGCACACACACCAATCAATTTTGAAATTTCATAGTCATGTATTGTAAAGTTGATCTGCAAAAACCTATAAACAAACAAAGATTATACCAACTCCACAACCATGTATAATAGTTAACCCATACAAACTGTAATAAGTTCTGCATTTGTAATGTTAGTCTTGTTAAACATTGAATGTCTTTCATCTCCTCTTTATCTCTAGCTTGCTTTGTATGTGTTGACCATTCAGGTGTACTGCAATGCTAGTCAATTCTTAGTCAATTTTGTTTCTTAGTTGAATTCACATAGGAAAATCCTTTCTAGAAATATTTTGTTGCTAAAATTTACCCGAGTATTCAAATACATTGCTCTAGCTCCGAGAAAATACTAATCTTGAGGAGAATTAGTGGATCAGTTGGAGAGCCCTGTTACCGTCCAATATTTATACTGTTTGAGGGTAAAACTTGTGCTACATATCTTTAAGATTATGTTCAACATATTCTCAGCATATTCCTTTATTCTCTCAATCATATTCATAACATCTCTCAATCACATATCCCATTATATGTTTTCCTAGTATACTAATATTTTCCTTGACAATACTCATTGCCTTTCACTCTTTAAATTGATTGAGATCTTTGTATGAGTTTGAGTGAATTTATTGTATTTAAATTATATTAATAATTCAATAACAAAACTTACTTTATTATTACTGTAAATGTTGTATTTTAGTTTTGAAAAATGTTCCACCAGTTTCCTGCTTTACGCTCCTTTCTTTTGTATTAGCATGCATGTAGCATGTTTAGGTATTTACATATATCTTCTTAATCCTTGTAATCTTCATTCTATGTACATTTATTGTTTTGAATAACTGTATCTTAATAGGTAAACCATTTTCTACTCTTCCTAGAATTGATGAGAAATTATTATATATGTGTTTGAGACGCTTCAAATATTATTTACTGTTTGTTACCTATAAAGTTGAACTGTCAAAAGATGTTTTTCTTAATTTTAGTCAACTTCTGTTTTTCTATTTTTTATTTTCTTTTTTATTTATTTTAAACAATTAACAAGGATACAATAATACAGTAATAGCTAACTTAAAGGAGGAGATGACACAAAATAGAACAGAACGGAATAATATGATTCAGGTAAGTCACAATGTGAAAAGCCAAGATACTTTTCTATAGAATATTTTATTCATAAAATGTGATTGTTCAAATTTGTAACAAATTATTCTTAAAACTGGCTTAATTATTGTACACCTAATTTTTGTTTTTCTCAAAAAGATTATCTTTTGTTGGAGTATTTATCTTGTCATGGCAAGCATCTTGAAATGATCCTTTATAAAAGAAATGGAACTCTAGCAAGGATAATTCATTTCCCTATGAAAGGAAATTAAAGAATGTAAAACACAACCAAGGTACAAAATTCACGCTGATGATCTGAATTTATTTGAGACAATTTGCTAGCTAGGATCATAAACCATCTTTGGTACTAACATGACATGGGTGCATTGAAGATACGAACATAAAGTACACAAAAAGGTGAATCATTCGAGCTCTCAACCAAAGCAGGATTTTAACCGTTTCTTATTAGACTACATTTATTTATTTTTCATCTCAATAATCAATATTTTCAATGGGCCAGGTCTTAAATCACCATCTTATGCGTTGGTCTGTGATTGCCTTGATATATCCCCATTTGCTGTTTGATATAAGCTAGGGAGGCTTGGGCATGCCTTGCGGGCATATATCATTTATGCTTAGCTTACCTTCAAGTTACTAATCAAATTCTCATTTCTTGTAGCATCGTGTCATCTCATTGCAGAACTTGTATTGTTGCTTGTACTTTTTATCCGGTTTTCATTTCCATTGCTTAGCTTGAGGAAATAGTCTGGCTGCGGATTCTGCATGGCCTTGAGTTATCCATTACTCTAAGGTTCACTAACTTTTGCTTTGTGCTAAGTTTCCATGGTGATGAATACATTAGTCGGACATGCATGCAATGAGATTTTCGTATTCTACAATTATTAGGTTTTTTTCTTGAATTGCATCTTAGATTCCTGGACCCATAGCCAAAGTTCATGAATCATGGCATCCTTGTGTGGATGGATGAATACAAAACTCAGTTGCATTTAGCCAAGTATGTATCACTGATGTGCACATCTACTTGTTTGCAGCATCTCTATTTCTGTTAGATGCTTTTCAAATTCTATAAATGAACTACAGATACTACAAGTAAACTCCTTACTTAGATCTATACACGTAGCTTGTTGTTTTGATAGGACTTCTGTTTCTTTTATGTTTTTGTTGCAACATGTGTGCGAGCATGCATGGTTTCGTGTATCAGTAAATAACTTCTCAAATGTTAAGGAATGCGTATCAGTTAACAACTTCTCAAATGTTATGGAATGCCAAAATCAACGGTCATTTCTCACTTGGACGTCTCTCTAATGCTAACTTAATGAGCTTTGAACTTCTTTGCTTGCGTTTGTGCGTGCCGTGACTGCTTTTGCATGATATGTATGTATGCATTTTCAGTTAGGCCATTCTTAAATGTTAATGAACTTCAAATTCTACAAAGTCAGTCCTGACTTGGATCCGTACATGTGAACTTGTTATGATCCAACTTGTATTTCTTTCATATTTGTGTTTCCATTTCGTTTTTGTGTATTGCTGCATTACTCATCAGAACTGGTTTTGTTGCAGGCAAAGAGCAGAGAGTGACAATACAGTTGTTGATGCCCCTGAAAAAGCTGAAAAATTTGCTCAGAGGTACTTTTTTGTTTTTATTTTTCATATATACCCTTTGAAATGTTCATATTTGTTGCCCCTCAAAACTTTGTTTTTTGATATCCACTCCAAAAACATATGTTTTTTTCTCTTTAAATCCTCAAATTTTTGTTAACTCTGCTCTATATGCATGTATGGAAATTGATGGGGAACATCTAGTTTCCTATTTTGTCTTTCCTCCATCTTTAGTAGACCTCGGTTGCAAGTCGGAGTGCTTCTTTTCTTACATTTGTCAAGGACATTTATGTAATTACAGTCCTTGAATTTTGCTTCTGGACAGTGCTAACTGATTACTAGTTTTTCAAATAACTTCTGTACAGAAGTGTCTCGAAGCGGATATATTTTAATACAAAGATTTAAGGGGTGGGGGATTTCCAGAAAACCCTTTGACTTTGTCATCAATAATTGCCTTTACTTGTTCCTCTCTTTCACCTTCTCTGAAGTAAGATATTATTTTAGGCTTTAATTTGCAAAATATTGATACTTCAACAATGAAACATGAATGTATCATGCGTATAGTCGATGTGCAATTGTTTTGGTATTGTGTGACTAGTGTGACATACTCTATATGACTTCAGTTAAGGGGAAAACCTATTTTACCTGGGTACTTCTATCTTGAAGCTCTACCCGTACCCGATATATACCCGTACCTGTACCCAAACTCCTTGGACGCCCCTGGCATATATGCCTATATTTATTCAGGCATGTACTCAATTAATAAATACATGTTTTAATATGGAACACTTGTCAAACATCTCCTAAACGTAGATCCTACACTTCACATCCACTTCTTGAAACTCGTGGGTTCCAGTTTAAAAAACGAGTGTTTTTACAATTTATAGTTCACATAATCAAAGCAAATGTTATAGGATTTAATTCTCATAACACATGAATAAGAAAATATTGATCTCATGTAAATTATTAATTTCAATATATGTGTATACAGATATTTATATAGTCGTGTCCCTGTACTATAGTTTTGCAAATTTTTTCGTGTCTCGTACTTGTAACGATACCCATGCAACATAGGGGAAAACTTATGTATTTGAAATAAAATTGACACATTTCAAAGTCATACCATAATTAGACAGTGAACATATAGACATATGTGCCTTTTGCATACTTTCTTATAAATGTTTGTTTACATGTTGGAGATGTATTGGATGCATAATCAAGTTGGATAAGACACTGTAATAAAATTGTAGATCATTTCTTTTCTGCAAATTTTAAGGCCAATAGCGTAAGTTGATGCCTATTTGAAGGAGAGTTATTCATTTCATGTTTCATTATAATTTTCTAATGCATTTATCTTATTTTGCATTCTTAATGAATGCAAGGATTATTTTGAGGAATTATTGACTTATATTAGCTCCAAACTTAATTGCTATATTTTCTTGGGACATCCATGCCATCTGAAATTGCTTGCATTCCTTTTTTTTTTCCTGTGATTAAATTTCCTATTTCTCATATCAATCCCCTCCTTTCCGTAAAGGATGTGGGGTTTGATAATGGTTTTTTATCTCATAAATTAAAATCATTTTAACGGGAACTATATTTCTTTTCCTTGAAGATGTTATGCTTACTCTCAAACCCTCTCATTGCGTATCTCTTGTCATCAATGCCTATGGAGAACAAATCCATGTTCAGAAGTCTCCATAGAAATTGTCAAAAGTCAACAACTAAGTTTGCCTAGTGTCAACCTTTCAAACTAGTGTGAATAACGGAAGTGGCCTCACAATAAATAAGAAAACATGTTATTGGTCATGGGTCAGCCTAACAAACAACCAACCTAACCCCACCATCACCCAAAAAGAAGGAAAAAAAGAAAACAAGGATGACATCTCATTTTCTAGGATTGCTATCTTGAACTCTCTCCCTTTCCCTCTCCCTGTCTATGTCCTCTCACTCATATTTAGCATGTTTTTGCTGGAGGGAATCTCTCCTGTCCATACTCTATAGTTTCAGATGCTAGAAGTTTGACATCAATTCAAGAGAGTCGATGTCAAATCATAGGTTCAAAATCTTACTTTTGCCTTATTTTTTAGCCATGTTGTTTATTGTTGGCGTGATATGGATCAAATTGAAGGCCATAAACTTTTGGTGATTTTAGCCTTAATATGAATCAAATGACTCGGAACTCCTAACACACTGTTTTAAAAAATCTCCGCCTAGTCCGTTTAGGCGTACGCCTAGGCCTAGGCGGTACTTAGACCGCCTAACTAGTGCCTAGCGTCTAGGCGGTATTTAGGCTGCCCACCTAGATTTTACGAGCGTTTAGGAGAGCATTGTCTGCTTACGTGGATTGCACCCTGTAGGCCTTGAATGTGATTTTATGTGTCGTAGCATACACGTCCTCCAAACTCCATTAACCTCCAAATATGAACACCTCCACTACCTCCTTCGACCTTCAGCAAAACCTCATCAACCAACATTTAAATGAAGAAAGAAAAAAAATACCCAGAAACCGCTTAGGCGCCCGCCTAGGTGACTAAACGCTGGGCGTCAAATCCGACGCCTAGAAGCGCCCAACGTTTAATGTAACATTGTCCTAACATACATAGATTAATTTTAGTATCTTTTTAATAGCCTGGCCTTTTAGCATATGGGTTTCGAATGGTCTCTTGCTACTGTAAAAGATAAAATAATTGTTAGCATAAAATCATTGAAGGTGTATTGCTAAACGAGAAAAAGAAAGGAAAAATGAGAAAGATGAAAAAGTTGATTAACATAATTATCATATATTATCACTATAAAAACAAACTTGCTATTTATTCAATTTAAGAAGTGTGTGTAACATGATAGGATAGATTAGTTTGCTATTCATGTGGTAAAATCATGGTGAGAAAATGACCTTTTCCAAGCTTATTTACTTTTGCGAACACGATATCTTCTTTTCTTTATAGAGAAAGATGTTAGTTTAATTCTAAAAGAATTTAATGGGTCACATTGTTCTTTTATTGTTTGGCGGTGTATCTTCCTACCCTATGCCAGTTCTCTAAACCGTAGTGGCAATGTTCCATTATATCCAATCTTATTTTAGTTTTTTTTGGTTTGTCATCATCCATCCATATGATGATGAGAAGAGTTTCAACTTCTAAGTTATCTGCTACCAAGTGGCGTTTTAACTGACAAGACTAGTTCTATAAAAACATAATGAGGTAATATGACCATCAGCTCAGTTCCTTCTTGAATGCCCATTTTTCCAATAGTAGATTCCATAAAAAACTATAGTACATTGTTTCTTTGATATTATAACGAGCTGAAAAAGTGCAAGCTTTGACTTCCTTACATCTATACCAAGAGCCAAAAGTACATGCATGTCATACTATATTAGCATATTATATAGAATGCATTGTTCCATATCATGTAAAATCTAGGACGGACTGTTATTATGCATGTACATTAGGAAAACTACTAACTGTTTTCTTCAACGACAATGATACAACCATTCTTAATAAATTCACAAGCTATATATGTTTTAAATTTGTAGGAATAGAGTGCGACTTTATAACGTGCATTAAGCAACTACAAACCATTTTTCATCAATGATGATACAATCGTTCTTAATAAATTTACATTCAAATATGTTTTAACTTTATAGGAATAGTTATATAGATAGCTAGATAGATGTGGGGAGGGAGGGAGAAAGGGAGGGAGAGGCAAATACTCTCTACGTGATGTGGGGAAACAGAAGACTTCAAATTCTTTAAACAAATGGGAAATATATTTCTATGGAAATTTCATCTTGATAATCATAAATATTAAAGGACATTTGACAATAAAAAATAACAATATTTAACAGTGTTGATAACATAGGTAGTACACATTGTTTGTACAAAACTTTTGTTAAAAAGCATAATTATAATTTGTTATAAGCAAACATATGTAAATACATATTCATGTTTAGGCCAATTTCAGCTTAGAAGTAAGAGTAGTACTTAGAGGATGTTTGTATGTTGTAACCACAAAGAATAAAGAGTAATCTAATCAAATTTTACACGCCAAAAGAGAGAAGCAAACAAAAAACTGTTTAACATGAAAACTCTATTGTAACTCCTTCGTAGAGTCAACTTCGAAAGCATCTTCATGTTCAATTTCATTGCCTGCACTAGAGATAGTGTAGATGAGTTCGCATTTTGTTGAGTCATTTTATATATGTTTCACACTTGGTTAAGTGGTTTGGCTGAATAATCTACCGAATTGTGTATTGCCCTTTAAGTGAGACTTATGATTTCAACACAAACTTGAAAAACTTATTCATGAGTTCGTATATATTTTGGAGAGGTCATTATCCTAAATTGTATAAAAATGTTGGTGATATTGTTCCATGTAGCATATGCAACAATTATTGATGTATATATTGAAGAATGTTGGAACATAAAGACATGATTTCTTGATATTGAGAAAAAAGATGCAAGATTTAACTATAACGAGAGGTTAATGTGCACTATGATAAAATGGTGATTTGTAAATATTATGTCCTAACAAGGGTATGTGGATAGATAGAGTGAGCATATAGTTACTGATTGTGTAGATATCCTTAGGAGTTTTGCAATAGAGTTCACTAAACCGTGACATCTCAGCATAACCAGTTTGAAGTTGGTTGCTTTAGCCGTCACTTTATTTGTGCCAATAACCAAGTTTGATCAATGAGAGAGGTTGAGAAGGAGAGAAAAAAATGAAGAATTATTAACAATCATTGCTAACTTTTAAACGTGTAAGATGATAGAGTAACTTACTATTTGAGACAAGATTGAGCTTTGTGCACTCCACATCTGGGTCAATTTTTAATCTTGTGAACTCTTTTGTCTCTAGCTTATAGTGCCCTTTTTTCGCCATAGGAATTTTTAAGTTTGTTAAGGAACTGTCAGTGTTTGCTAATTGTTGGGACATAGAGAATGTACCATGAATTTTTTCGCTAAGGCCAAACTTGGAAGTAGGACAAACTATTTCTTAAGCGGTAGAGTAAACATTTTAGTTTTTTAATATTCTTCCTTTAGATAGTAAGCACACACTCTTAGAAATATAGTTTCATTTGTAATGAAAACCTTAGCAAAGTGAATAATTTTTTTCCTTATATGTTTGTAGTAGGAGGGCGGATATCAATGATAAGATTCAATATATTTTGTTGAAAGAAGATAATCAGTAACATTAGTAAGTTTCCAATTAACAGTCAGTAGAAGAAGAAAAAATTAATGAGAAAAATAAAAAAGTGTAAAAGAAAAAGAGCTAATGTAGATTGATTTCATATAGTTCTAGGATAATGTGCTCTTAAAAACGCACAACCTTGTCATCAAAGTTAATGAAAAGGTTTCAAATTTGTGTTTTGTTATGATTTTAAAAATTACAAGTTCAACTTAAAAGAGCAATACTCAAGTTAGTTCAGTAGATTTGCTACCTATAGCATTTACCCAGTGCAAAACATAGATGAGACAGTTTAAGAAAATGATAACTAATTTACTTAGCCTGACTTGGAGCTTATTCTACGACAAGCAATGAAATTGAACATGAGGAAGCTTCTGTGACGACTATGCTGAAGGCACTCAATCTAGAGTTTTGATAATAAATGATTCATCCTTTTTTTCCTTTTTTGACATGTAAATATCAATAGTAATATTGCTAGATACTTCTTCATACAAAATACTCAAATGCTACTTTTTTATGGAGTTTGTTCACTTTTTTTAGACTGTCCTCTACATTTCCAATTATTTTCTTTTCTATTTTTTCTATTTTTACTGTATTTATTGTTCTATCTGTTTTTTTCACATAGTTGCTGGGAGGATGGTTTCGTTTCATGTTTTATTTACATAGGTATTTAGTTACAGTAAAGTCATTGACTCATATATTCTATTGTGTACCTCACATTACTCGATTCTGCATATTGCATCGCGTCTTGCACATGTGCACTTAATGAGGGATTTTGTATTCCGCATACTTGTAAACAAGACGCCAATCTTGTGGAACCAATTCGTATATATGAGAGTTCGCAAATGTACTGGGAATTGGTACGCAAATGTGTTTTAATATTTTTTCATACAAAATATTTAAATGCTTATTTTTTTTTATAAATGAGATGGCATCTTATAGTTGTTTTCTCTTTACCCACCCCACACTAGTACCAAGACATAATGTTTGTTTGTCCTGCTTTTGAGGAATTACTATTGCCTGCACGTATAATATAATATCATAAAATGTAATCTAAATAAATAAAAGTCCATATCGACTTTGCAATATTTAATTGAGCCAAAATACCATTTGATATATTGGAAAATTATGATATGTCGCCCAAAAATTGCTAAAGCTGTTATATAGTTTTGTGACAAGCCATATTAAAACAAATAACGACGAACATATCGGTTGATATGTTGGCTATGTCAGGGATATATCACCCAAAATTAGCAAAAAAAGTAAATGATATTTAGGCCATATCGTTTTGCAGCAAGCTTTGTAAAAGGATATATCGGGCCATGTTGGGATATTTAAAACAATGTTTCTTTTAAATATTTTGGAAGAAATACAGAATATTGCACTCAACACTCGAATAAAATATATATTTACTTAACTTTGATTTTAGCGTATAAGTACCTTTAATGGTATCTGCCAAAAATATATTAAATTAGAGGGCTAATTTAAGTCTGTATATCTATCTTGAACAATGCTTTGGTTGTCAATAAGAAAGTAGATCATTTATCTGATATTATTTTGCGGCCTTTTTTGTTGAAAATTTGGAGAACATATGCAGTTTATCAATTTCCTAAGCATATGCCTGAACTTAACTGTCCATCTTGATCTTAGTGATTTTGTTTCCTGCTATTCTTTTATGTTATACTCAGGGTTTTAAAAAGCATTCGTGTAACTCGCATAGGCTTTTGCCTAGGCCGAGATGATACCTTGGCTATCTACCTAGCACTTAGGCAGGCTATGCGCCTAGGTTTAAGGAGCACCTAAGGGAGTGTGGTTTGCCTACATGGACTGCACCCTTTAGGCATTGATTGTGATTTCCTCCGTTACAGCCTCCACATCCTCCAAACTCCAAATACGAACACCTCTACCTCTCTTGACCTTCAACAAAACATTCTCCACCACCACTCTGCCTAGGTATCAGTCCAGCCTGTAAGCTTTCTATAATATTGGTATTTTTCTATCACTAATAATAATTATAAGCTTAAAAACAAGGAAAATGCCTAGGCCTCGCCGAGGCTCTAGGCGTCGGGTCTAACGCCTAGGCCACCTAGCACTTTCTGTAACCTTGGTTATACTTTCAACCTTATCCCAAAACTCATAACTTGGTATGACTAGTAGTGCAACCAGTGGTTGGTTCCATCACTTTTTACTACAAGTTGTTGTCTAGCCAGAGTTAGAGCCTAGACATTCCTCTCTATTTTTCTGCCAGGCTTCATAATAAAGCAACTGTTTACAAGATATGGGCATGCCATAAAATTAGCATGCCACTTGACACTTGGTTATTAGCATGCAATTTAAGCTCACGCGACCAGCGAAACATGTATAGGGGAAGAGTAAGGAACAAGGAACAGGAAAGGCTCTTATCTGGGACTTGGCTTCTGAATGAACTGTCTTTTCCATTGTCGTCTGTGAAATGTAATCCTTCACACATCTGTTGCTCGAATTGAGTTATCTACATTAATTGCAAGTATGTTGTATCATTGCCCTTTTGTGACAATAGTTCGGTGGCTTCATAATTCATTAGCGATGCAAATGACACTATAAGAGTATATGATTTAGCTAATTTTTTTGTGCCTTGTAATGTTGAAAGATACACAGAAATCCTTGAAGACATGAAGAAGAACCCTGAGAGTCATGGTGGGCCCCCGGATTGCATTGTAAGACAGTGGTTTTAAGTTAGTTCTCATGGCTCTATGAAGTTAACAGTTGATTCTATCAGAGTTTTTTGGTTGCATTCAGTCAGTCTCAACAAGTTGAAGCTAAAATTTCCTTGTAATTTTAGCTTCTTTGCAGACTTCGCGAGCAAGTCCTTAGAGAAGTGGGCTTTAGAGATATATTCAAGAAGGTTAAGGTATATTTTTAAATAATTGACAGATTCTCTATTATATTTTTTCTTGAACTGGGTTGCTTAATGATGTGCTTCTATTCTAGGATGAGGAGAATGCAAAAGCTATTTCTCTCTTTGAGGGAGTTATTCGGCTTAATGATGCCACTGAAGACGAGATCAAGCGTGCTGAGAACTTGATTAGGGGTATATTGGCAGGAAACATATTTGATTTGGGATCTGCACAGGTATTTAATACCAAGGTTTATATGCTATGTTTCTGAATTATCCGTTAATATCTCTGTTGAATATTCGATGAAGATTAAGAGCATGTTTGGAAACTGGTCAAAGTGGCTTATAACTCATTGAGACATGTTTGGTAAACAACTTATTTTGGCTTATAAGCCAAAAAAAAAAAAAGGAAAAAAAAAGAAAAAAAAGAAAGCTGGGATAACCAGCTTATTTTGTTGGAGGCTTGTAAGGCAAAGTTTGACCAAGTCAAAGACCATTTTACTTCTTAGCATTTAAGAAAATTACAAAGCCCTCTTTTGTTAGACCCTAGAGGGGGGGTGATTAGGGTCTTATGCTAATCTAATCCGATTTAAATACCAATTAAAATTAATTAATACGTTATCCTAGCAAGTATGAAATACAACAATATATATGAGCTAGGATAAGCAATATACAATATGATATATCCTAGCAAAGAGATATATAGCAAAATATATATGCGAGGATATATAAACTAACACAAGGGTAAACAATATAAACTAGATAGTGGATCATAAAAAGGATGAGTAATGCACAATTGGCGATATAAGATAAATGCAAAAACAACTACGCCAAAGACAAACTCAAACAAGCAATATGATCACGGAGTTCGGACCTTCCGTCCTACGTCTCCGCTCCCCACTCCCGGGGAGAAATCCACTAACACAATCCGGTTTGGAAGCCGGAACTTCTTCTACACACTCGGTTTTCTAGCTAACCGAAAATTCTACAACTCACACTCTTGCAATCACACTCTACACTCACTAAGTGTTGGACCTAGCCGTGTCTCCCTCAAGTGATCTAGCTTATGAAATTAAGAACAAACTTATAAAATGCTAGAATTGAGTTTAAGGAAACTTCTCTATAGATGACAAGAGAGAGGGAGAAGAGTGATTGCTCAAACACCAAATGATGATCTCCACTTGCTCTTGTGAAATTGTCTTCACAAACCAAAACACTCAAATGCTTAAAAGCTTCTTAAACCAAACTTAAACAAACACTAAACAAGTTTAAACCCTTGTTAAAAAAACTTCTTTAAAAACTTCTTAGATTATTGAGAAGAGATCAGCAATGGGGTATTTATACCCTCTCACAACTCAGCTAAAAACCCCAAGCAAAAAGACAAAACAGCCCCAGACAACTCAGCTCAGAAATAGCCGTTAGGAGACAACGGCTCTATTGGCGGTCGACCGAAAATTCTGTCGGTCGACCGATGGAGAATTTCGGTCGACCGACGGAAAAATCCGGTCGACCGCGAGCAGGTCTGAAAAACAAAAAACAGGCAGAGACTTCGTCGGTCGACCGGTGCGGTCGACCGATGGAGCTTTCGGTCGACCGGACCGGTCGACCGACCAACTACCGAATACTGATACTCTGAAAAATAGTTTTGAAAGCTGTACATCTGATTTTGAAACACTGTTTAAAAATATCAAATAAATTCTAAAAAATGTAAAACTTTGGGGAATGATTGTAGACATGATAATAAACATGTTACAATGACTGGTTTCCAGAAAGGACTTCCCAAATAAAAAATATCATCATTTTACAAAATAGTCCAAAACACGAAAATGTAAACATGTGAATTTTGACATTTTGGCTAAACCAACTTTTAAAACTTTACAAAATGATTTTATAGACTTAGTAAAACATGTATGAACTGATATTGAAGTCTATAAACTAATAAAACAATATTTTCACAAAATTGCATATTCTATGCAATGTTTTCAAAAACATAATAGAAAATATGAAATATATAATTTCATATATATAATCATAAAAACTCAAAACACATGTATGTATATATATAACTATATATATATATGCATAGAAACCAAAACTTATGTATATATATATATATATATAACTATATATATATACGAAGAAACCAATAAAATGTGTGTGTATAGATATTGAGCTTAACGTATTAAACACACATAATATAAAACCTAAACTAGATTACCCAAGCCGATCTTGATCTTCAATAAGCTTGACTTGGTACACTTTGCGGATGAAGCTTGAGCTTGATCTTTAACTTGAATTGTATGTTGCTTCACTCCACAATTCCGCCAACCTCCATTTGATATCGTCGTTGAAGCGCTATTCCATCCATCCTCCAACAACGTTGTTTGTCTACAATAAATAGATAACACAAGCACTAGACAAACAACATTAGTTGTAAATTGTTTGTTAAACATCATCAAAACAAGAAGGCCAACATCTTTCTCTATCTCCGACCCCTTTTTGGTCATTTTGAGAACAATGATGGTTTATAAGCCACTCATTTGTCAAACACTACCATTGGAAATAGATTATAACCCACTTCACTAATAAGCCATTTGTGGGTTATAAGCCAAGTGGGTTATAATCTAAAGTTGCCAAACATGCTCTAAGAACAATGTAATGACTTTGGTTCTGGAATAATTTCTTTAAGAGTTACTTTTGGTGCTCTTCTACTAGTTTAGGATCAGAACATTTACATTTAGTCATAGACCTATAAGAAGTGTATTAGCATATGAATGAAAGTTCCTAAAAAGTATAGTTGCAGCAAGAAGGCAGCTGTGACGATATTATTTAAGATGTAATCATTTGTATATAGGCATCATAAATCATTAAATCCCATATATAAAATTTGTGCACCATATCACTATGACACCAATGCAGCATGCATGGCTTAATAGTCCAAAATACTTTTATGTGGTATGGGTAACATGGGGATGTACAAAGATTATTATGATGTGTAGAAGCACAAACATAGACAGGTGGACAAGATAAATTCTGTAAAGCTAGTGAATGAAATGTCAATAAGACAATGACACCAGTATGAAGTAACATTTTTATTTTTCTGAGTGTCAAATGTCGATTTGTTATGTTAGACATTGACCCCCCAAAAAAAAAATACAATACATAATAAAGACTAAAATTTTATACTCATTTAAGCAATTACTCTTGGTTTTGTTCTCATCTTCAAATAAACAAGCTTGATATATCTCAATTCCTGACCTCAAACATTGAACAGGTTTATTGTATGCTATAATGTTAATATGAATTGTCATTCTTTTATGTATATAAATATTAAGGTTTTGTCATTAAAACAAAAGAGGAGTGCTTGAACCCAAAAATATTAGAATGCTGGAATATGCTCGTTAAAATTTGATTTCTTTTACTAATGTTCATGTTTTTTTTAAGAAGCGTCCAATATGTATCGAGAAACAGTCATTGTTCTTAGTATATACACAACAAAGAGCTTCATAATAGTACCCCTGTGCTACTATGTTGACTTTCTTAATTTTTGGGTCCAAGAAATCTGTTGCATTTGGTATTTACTTCAACAGCAGAAGATAGCAATGAAATGAATACAAATTCGAAGAAACAACCTTGCCAAAAGTCTTTAACTGTTTTCAAAGATTTTGAATCAAAACTTTAAATTAACTGAAAACATATTTTATAGATTAATTTGATGCACAAAATTTAGTGTGGGAAGGGTCTTAGCTTTCGATCTCTGTCCAGCGCATGTTACCCTTGAAAATAGCAGCTTGAACTTCTCAAATTACCAAGATCACTATTTTTTGAATTTAACCTGGTAAATCGGAAAGTACCTTTTATCTGCATCATTACAATGATGTGATCAAAGTGCCCCCAGTGAGGAGAGGCTTTGTGACCTGGGCTTTAAGTTCATTAAACATTGCAAAAGGCACAAGCCTATATGTTCAAATGAACTGCCAAGGCTTTGATAACTCCTGTTAATGATAGAATCAGAATTAGGTTCCTGTTTGCATTTCTTTTTTTTCCGCTTTACCCCTCATATAATATTTAATTATCATCTTCATGAATCTTCAAAAGTGAAAGCAATCAGAGTTTCATGTCATAATTCTTCTGTCTTCTGTTACTATCTGAAGTTTCTTCTAATTCAAATGGAGACTGCACTATCTAGACGACCTCTTTAGTTCAAATTAGCTATTTTAAGTCAACAATTGAGTTCTTAAATGCTTTTCTTACTAGTTTTTCCTTGTTTCCTGTGATGTAGCTTGCAGAAGTTTTTGCAAGGGATGGCATGTCCTTTATGGCAAGTTGTCAGAACCTTGTTCCTCGACCTTGGGTAATTGATGATCTGGACACATTCAAAACAAAATGGACTAAGAAGTCATGGAAGAAGGTAAATGGTCTTTTCCATACTTCCACTTTTATGATTTGCTACAACTGAATGACTTTAAACTTGAGATTTTTTTGGTAGTTGCTGGTCGGTGAAGTTCATGTAGCTGGAAAAGGAAATGGTGTTGAGATATCTCATAGACCTTGATGTTTTATCACTTACAAATTTCATCGATAGGGTATAGGAATGTTGGATTTACTGGACACATCACGGTGACAAACGTAAACTGCATCTTGAAGGAATAACCTGGTGACTTAATGCTTCTTAATTGTACTTCACAATCTAGATGTTGGCTTTAGTTGAATACTTCAAATCCACTAATTGCTAAACTGCCTATTTTAGGGTTTGGATTCTCTCTGACCATTGGGTTTGGGCAGTGTACTTATGTAGTTTCAGATATTTATGCAATATGTCAACTCTTAAGTATAGCCGGGGCTTGGGTTGGGAGTTCTATTGAATTACTATGTTAGTTATAGTTTCTGTGAATTACTCTGTTCATTTGTACATGAAAGATTTATAAGTGCATATAATTGTGGCCTGAGCTTCGTTTCCTTATGGCATGTTCCTCTAAACATGAGTCCTCCATGAAATGTGCAAGGCTCATTGGTTGAAGTTTTAAAATATGCCGTAGTGCTCCCCTTGACAGGGACATGGCAGTTTCAGAATTTATTTTCTTCTTTTAATTATACATTATGCAAGCTCCTGTTTAACAGTAGTTCCTGTAGGACATTACTGGGATATCCTTTTGTGTTAATTATGTTTATGGTCTTCTATTTGAACTTCATATTTTTGCTGCTTTTTACAGGCTGTCATTTTTGTTGATAATTCTGGAGCTGATATTATATTGGGCATATTGCCATTTGCAAGAGAATTGCTTCGGCGTGGTACAAAGGTTAAACCCTTTACTGTCAAATGGCCTCGTCAGTTTTCTTTTCTTATCAAATGGAAGCATTGCTGTATTGTTGAATTTCAGACTTAGACTTCTTGTTTTACTTGCTTAAATTGCTTTCAGCACCTCATTTGTTCAACGTGAACTTTTCTAGACAACAAATTGAGTTTCATTTTTATTTACTATTGTATCATATCAGTAACATCTTTTAGTAATCAAGAAAATGAAATGTTTTTATATATGTTTAGTATGAAAAACCTTGTTATATATGTGTAGTAGACTATCCATATCAGGCACTCATTTCACACATCAGAATAATCACTTATTCCCCTTGCAGTCTACAACAACAACAAAGCCTTATTCCCAATTTTTTTGCGTTGGTTATGTGAATAACAACAAGTGCAGCTAAATTATGTTAAATATAAGTGAACTATGATCATCAAGCAATAAATTATGTTAGCTCTTTTAATCATCTTTTTCATTCTTTTTCTATTAGCATCTTTCATTGGTGTGGTCTTCCATTCTCCCTCCCTCTCCAGCTTTCACCTAGACTAGTCTCTTGTTGCTTATGATAAGTTCTTTTACCACTTGTAAAGCAGATATGCATCTTTATTTTTCTATCAGAATTGCTTCAGTCCTCCAATAATATGATTTTTTTTAATGATAAATGAACTGAAAATTAGGCAGGATATTTTAGTCCTTTCTTAGTTTATTTTTATTTTTCATGTTTTTCTTCGCAAATCATTCCCTGCGCCCTTCCTTCTATTTCCTTTGTTCAAGCCAGAAAATTACGGAGATTACGAAGGCAGGAAAAGACCTAATTGTAAAGAAGGGTCCAACTCTGCTGCTAAAATAGTGTTATCATTAATTTTTATTTCATCTTCTTCCTCTGTTTAGACTCGACACTAGTATCAAATCTTCACAATAATGATGGGATCTCACAAATAATAGTGTCCACAAAATTTTGTGTATTACAGTATGTAACCTCGGTACTTTCATCTAAAATAGTACCCGTACCCAACATGTACCTGTACGCCCGTACTTGCACCCAAACTTATGGACACTTCTCGAACATAAGCATATGTTTATTTGGCTGTGTACTCAATTATATCATACATTTCTTGGATGTATATCCTAGTCCTCATTTTTTGGACGTATATCCTACTTAATTTAAAACAATACACTTCTTTGGAAGTATATCCTACACTTCATATTAACTTCTTGAAAAATGTTGCACATTGGTCGGTTTTGTTTCAGTCGATATTCAGTTCAGAATTCTGACTATAGAGATCTGTTTGGCTATCTAGCTATAAATGAGCGGTTTTCCAATTTATAATCTACATAAATAGAAACATAAACATGTTATAGGACCTTTAATTCTCATAATATGTGAATTGAAAAACATTATTGATCTCCTGTAAATTATTAATTTTAATACATATAAATATATATGCATACATATACATAGCTGTGTCCCCGTGCCCTACCTTTTGCTAATATTCCGTGCCTTGTACCTGCACCTTACCAGTACCCATTACTCATACCTGTTTCCATGCAACTTAGGTATTATCTATCAGTAGAAAAAAAGAAACCTCCCATATCATCAACATACAAGTGAATTGAGAACTTGATCCACATCAAAATTTCTTTGAACCTATTTTTGATCAAATATCTTTAGTTCTTAGACCCAAGGATCAGTTTCGAAACCTTTTCAACATTTAATCACACAAAGAAAATACTCAGTTCGAAGAAGCGAAGAGAATAACCAGGGAGGTTGGATTTCGTCTGAATAAGAACTGCTGGTGTTCAGGGGAAAATGGAAGAAACAAAAAGATGGAAGGTTGGGAACAGATAGTGAAGAAGACAAGCACAACTTATTATTAAGACCAAACCACAGTATTATTTACTACTAATGTCATTGGAACAAGGCTTGGCAAACTGGTTAAACAGTTTAAAAATGAGAGAACTAAAATTTCGGAGCATATTTAGTTATTTACCAATAGTGTCATCAGAACTCCAAATTTTTTTAAAGCATTGAAGTTGTTGGCTTTTTTATTTGTTTTCTGATTGATGTTTGGTAATTGATTTGAAGGACCTTTTGAAAAAACACAAGTTAAAAAAGAGAGTAGTTTGGAGAAGGCAGATTTTATTGCTTCTCAATCTCAGGATCAAAATTTCCTATGTGATGTGTCCCATGTGATGTGTCCCTACTTTTCTCCTACATAATCGCATGCAATATGATCTCTAACTAACGTTTTCAGTTACTTCTGTCTACTTTTCCTGACTGTTATTAAAGGCTCTTATCTAATTGTTGTGTGACACACTCAATTCCCAATCAAACTCTTCTAGAGAAATCTATTTATGATATTGATCTTTCTTTATCAGAATTTTTTGGGTTTGAAGTGCCAAACAGATGAATGCTGTAAATTGTATAAGTTTTTTCCCCCTGATAAAGAGTTTGGATTAATCCTTTAGAAGGGCTTACCTGTGAGCAAATGCAACGTCAAACACACCCTTTGCCTCACTTCTTTTGATCCCCCCCCACTCGTTGGAAACTCTTGGTTGTCATAGGATATGTTCATACCATCTCTAGGGGTTCTAACTTCATCTTTGGACCTGTTGGCTCTCTACCTTGTTTTATTTGCAATTGTGTGGAGGTTATCTTATCATAATCAGCGTATCACTGAGATCTCAACTTCATGTTGGATTAACTTAAAGTAACACCTAGTAGTATAAACTCTGTAATAAAATTACTTCAAAAGAATTGTTTATAGGGGCATGAGAATGAGGGAAATGTTCATTACTTCATTATATAGATGTAACTTCAATAGCCACTTGTTCACAACACAGGCCTTTGCCATATAACATATTAACAACTTGTCCAAAGTTGGTGAATGCCAACGACTACAAGCAAAAGTTCTCATGAAATTCTTAGGAGTCAGGTCAAGTCAGTTTCTTTCATCAGGATGTCAATCTTGTTGAAGTTTTAATGAAAGAAAATGTAAGTACATAAAAAGAAGATAGAAAAGGGGTGATACTGCATGCAAACTCAATATGATGCGGCAATTTGACGGAAGTGTTAAAAGAATTTTGGTGGTTTTTTGTTGCAAGTTAAATGACAGTGGAAACTTTTGAATTCACTTGTTATCCTTATAAGAGCTGCAGTAATAGTTTTTCTCTGTCCAAGATATAAGAATAGTTTCGTCTTAATTTTTTTAACTTTTAACAGTGAATGTAATTTATGTCCCTGTTCCTTTTCATAATTGTTTCTTTTCAAACTGTCAATCTATTTCTTTGGTGTGTCCAAGACCTGATGCCTGCCAGAATAGTATTACATCCACTATTTAATTCTAGTCTTATGTTGATGCAGGTGGTTCTAGCAGCTAATGAGTTGCCTTCAATCAATGATGTAACTTATACTGAACTGGTTGAAATTATAAAGAAGGTGATGGTTGTATAGTATATAAATATAGCAGGTTGAATAGAAACAATTGACTCTGATGTTTTATTCTTTCCCTTTATCAGCTGAAGGATGAAAAGGACCAGATTGTCGGTGTTGATACTTCCGGCCTTCTCATTGTCAATTCTGGCAATGATTTACCGGTAAGGAACTCTAATTTAATCTACCGGGCTCGATGTATTTATATATATACCAATATGATTTTCTTAGGACAGATCCCCGTGTGAATTTTTAGGTAATTGACCTCTCAAATGTATCACCAGAGTTGGCATATCTGGCAGCCGATGCAGACTTAGTTATATTGGAGGGAATGGTAAGGCGTTGCTAGTAGACTTCATCTCGTGTTTAAAATTGGTTGTGTTCTCATGCTTGAGTCACTGCAGGGACGTGGAATAGAAACAAATTTATATGCTCAACTGAAATGTGATTCAATCAAGATTGGAATGGTATTCCTTTTATTGAACCCCTTTCTTGTTTATGGATGTTAACTAAAGGGAGGAATAAATCCAGGTTGGAAAGCTCATGCTTTTTTATAAAATCTTTTTTCCCTTCCTTTTGTTGCTCATTCTTGACAGGTGAAGCACCCAGAGGTTGCTCAATTCTTGGGTGGGAGGCTCTACGATTGTGTATTCAAGTACAATGAGGTGTTGAATTACTGATGCCGTCTCCGTTGAAGCTGTTCTCTTCAATTCTTCATGTCAGCAGTTCCACAAACAGTATTTATAAAGTGAAATCTACGACAGATATTTAGAGACAACAGGGTGTGCATAAACTTTATACACATTTACAGTAGATGAAATTATCTTTAATAATTTATAAATACGTTTCATTTTGGATTTGTTTGATACTATTACTCTTTTATATGTTCGTCTTCTGAGTAAAGGGAAAACAACAAAGTTAACGCACATTAGTTAAATCTAAGTAATGAAGATACTAATTCATTTGAGGGTCTAGAATGGAAGTCAGACTTTTAGTGCCGTACTAAATTAATCCTCACCTATGCTCCATTAGGTATTGACGACTGATGCAGGTGTAGATCCAATCTAGTTCGTTCAATCTTGTAAAATATTTATGCTTTCTGGCATTTACAAAATTACCTTGTAAGTTTTTTCCTGATGCTTATACTTGTTCTCGATACTGAAACTAATTAAAAGTGCAGAAATGCTATCTTTTCCATTTTGACATAACGAAATTTACTTTCCTTTCGTTTGAGCATGTCTACGTGCATTAAAATTGGTTTAGAAGATAAGTTCTATTTGCATTCATGATCCTTTTCGTTTCCTTTTGGCTGTGTCCAGGTATTTTAAGGCTAAAATCCCTACCGAAGGTAGGGTGCAGCTTTGGGAATTTATGCAAGCAATCATAACTGTCATTTATGTGTTGGCTCCGTTCACTATAGTACTTAGCTAAAAACTAAAATTAACATAGCCTTTTATCTCAATTTTGTCGGGTTGCTACATGAATCCTCTTCTTCCATTCAGTTCTGTTAGAAGGCCATCTCCTCAGTTCAGTTATGGCTATACTGTCCGTACTGAACACTAACACAAACATACTTGGATGCTTTGGTTAACGATATAAGCAAACAAGTTAGCTGGGTAAAGTTTAAAGTTTGAAGATCTGGGGGTTGGGTACCTAAAATGATGGAGATACCCTAAGAATTTTTAGGAGCAGCAACAAAGCGCTAGAATTAAATTTATACTAGTTTAGACGGATAACCTCTTGGATAATTTGATTAGTTATGAAACATCTGTGAGTGGTTCCATTGGTTAAAAGACCAGTCAGATATAAGTATCAGTCAGAAGTATAAAAACATGCGACAAATCCAATTTTTCAGAAACACAACGCGTATCGTTTATTTTTTTTCGCCTTCAAAAAAATTGAACCCCAGCCCTTCCGTCTCTGAGATCCCTTCCTATCCAATGTACGTAGTGTTACTTCATGTGAAGTTAATTGTTGCTGTTTTCAGGAGTACCTTAAAACATCATGACTGGAAATTTGTAGTGCATAACTCGGCATTTTTATTAGGAAAGAAGAAATACATCACATGGTTATATTAATACAGAAAGCCTCCAATGACATAAAGATTTAAGCAGAAAATATTTATGAATATGCTGCAAATTAGACAGTACAGGCCAGGAGATAATGTCAGCAGCTGTTTCACTTCTTCTTGGTAGGAAAAGAAGCCATCTTGTATATTCCGCAGAGCCCTTCAGGCTTTCCAGTATTCCTCTTCATCCTGATATACCCTTTCTCCCCCCAACTTGGACCCCAGGAGTTCTTCACGATGATGTAATCCTGGCCCTTGGATGTCCCGTATCCAACTGCTGCTACCCCGTGGTCCAGATCAGTCCCACAGTGTCCATCGAAAACCCCCTGCGACCATTTTGACAGATTATATCTACGTAATTGCGACTCATTCCTAATATACATAGTTGTGACTCATTCCTATACTATCGCCCAATTGCGGATAGACCCTATGTAGTTCTACTGTTGCAGACAGACCCCTTGGGGGTGAACTTTTTTTATTACTCTTTTACCCTCAGAATGAGGAATTTTTTCCTTATTTTTGACAAATTAGACCTCTTGATGGCAAAAAAGTCAAAAGAAGAGGGTTCCATCCACAGTTAGTATAACTATCCTAATAATAAATGGTTATGGTCAGAAGAAGCGCCATAAGCAATAAATGATGGTGATTAAAGAAGAGGGTTGATCCAAAATCAAACTTCTTACCCCACTGTAGAACTGGAAATTTCTCCCGGAGGCTTCTATAGCAACGCTAACAGGCTGATGAGCCAACGCTTTAAGCAGGCTCACTTCACTGTTTCTTGGCACATCTTCATACCCACTAATAGTCACAACCTCCATATCTTTCTGAATTCAGATACACGGGAATAACAGCGGACGCCACAAAAGATCAGAATTGGAGAGTTCACACACGTGAGAAACTGTTGTTAAGAGGTTACTTACCTTCGCCTCATCGCATTTGCCTACTCTCGTGAGGTAAGGATAGTCATCCTCGGTGTGAAGTCCACCGTTGGAGGCTATGAACTTGAATGCGTAGTCCATGAGACCTCCATTGCAACCGTTGTTGAATTTGTTATCGCAGTCGATAAGCTCTTGCTCTGATAGCGCCGTCAGGTTTCCCGTAACGATCTGGTTTATGCCTTCAACAGCTGCTACCGTTGAGAAAGCCCAGCAACTCCCTGCGCACAATTGTAGCCTCAGTGTGATTAGCAAATGAAATTTATAAGAAGACGGACTAAAACATACTTAGTTTTGTATTTTTTTTTTCTGGGTGTAAGATTTCTTCATGTAAATCTTTTGAGTTGGTAATTGTTTTTGTTATCCACTTCTCCAGCATCCTTTGATTTTAAAGCAAGTTTTACATCGATACAAATCATGTTGAAACTATTAAATTTTGTGTTCCAATTATAAATTCTTTTGTTCTTACAGCTAAATGTTGTTGATTTTTAAACTACGGTTATTTTTATCTTGTCATATATTCATTAAACGTGTTCTATTATGTAACACATGGTTTAAATGTTTCATGTTGTAAAATAATCATGGCCTAATACGGACAAGACCTCTTGAAGTATTGCTGTTTTGAACTACTACTACTCAAGTTTTACTGTTGCAGAAAGACCTCCTGAGTTTCTTTCAAAAAAAAAACTATTTTACCCTCTGCGGGGTTTATGTGTCAAACAATTTTCTCATTCCCTGGGGTAAGAGTAAAGAAATTTCACTCAGGGTGTTTTCGCGACCGGATACTGCATGGGATCTGTTTGCAATTAACCCCATAATTATTGTCTGTTCAAACTAGTCCCATATGGAGACAGAGGAGATTGAGGATAGAAAATGAGAAGGCTACTTTGTTCTTACCACATTGTCCTTGGTTCTTCACATAAGTCACCGCTCCCTTCTTCCTCCAATCCACTGACTTTGGCAACTTAGGAGCATCCTCATCCCTGAAATCTTCACGGCTCTCGCAGTACCCCTCCATTCTCTTTCTGAAATCAGGCCTCAATCCAAGGTACTTCTCCTTGAACTCGTCATGACTCATATCAGCGAACTCATTGAGCCCAAGCCAGTAGCTACTCTCCCTCTTGTTAGTTTCATCAATATGCATCAAATTATCCTTAAATATCTCAAACCTCATAAGCTTCTCCTTAAAATTATCGTAAATTTTGGCGTGTTTGTCCATCCACGATTCAAAGAGATCGATCAGACTATCTCGAGACATAAGGTCCTTTTCTGAGTAGCCAACGATCGAATAATCTCTAGGAATTGCGGAGCATTTGAGGAGGCAAAGGGAGAAGACTACACATAGGAGAGAAAATTTGCTGCATGACTCCATATCACTTAGTAGAGAAATGAGATTGTTCAAGAGAGTTGAGTGTTTTGGCTCTATATATAGGCTTTCCTATGTTGCTTCGAAGGAAAGCATATGTGATGTCTGGGGCTCTTTGCATAAAGGATACTAAGGCTTCAAGCTTAGTCCAGTAAACAGCCTTTGGTTTCAAGTCTTTGTTCAGTCTGATTAAAAAAAAAACATTATTGTAGCCTGTCATCAGAGATAGGTTTCAAGGGAAGAGACTTTGGTTTAATCTTTGAAGCAAGGTAATTATTTCGACTAGTTTATGTTAACCTATTCGATTACGTGTAATACTTTGTTAAGAGGAATTCAAGTACTGTAATTTGCTTTTTGAAAATTATATAGCATTTATGAATCATAGAGAACTTCGATAGTTTCCTCTCGTTGTGTGATTTTGCCTAACTGTAATTTAAGTTGAATCATATTACATAGTTGCTATAATTAAAGCTAGTGAAAATAATTGGAGTGCCTGAGTACAAGCAAGATCTGCTAATTTTGCAAAATCTGGTTCAATTTTGCTTTTATAACCAACTCTATTTAAGTGATAATTGTGAAAGATTCTATCATGAAAGAAATTGTGTTCAGACAAAGACAGTGAACTAAGTTTTTTTCCTTTTCTTTTGAAATAAAAACAGGGGAGGATCCCTGTTCATATATAAAATAAAAGAAATAAAACAGAGTACATATTACAAAATACAAGAGATCAAGTAAGAAAATGATAAGGTGATTATTAAATGAACCATAGTTTTCTAAGTCATATTAATGAAGCCTTCTTCCCTTGTGCATCAGTGAGCATGAAGAGAGAACCATAGCAGTCATTCACTACTAGCACTGATACATAAAAAATAAAAACCGGCTTGTCATAAATGAAAAGAAAATTAAGGTTCAAAAGGCAGTCACACAAAGAAACATGAGACTGTCTCTCTCTGAAAAGAACATACACACACACAAAGATTTTATGCACGTACAATACACGCGGTTAAATATCGTGATTAAGTATTTTTGGTTCATTTTCTTACTAAAATTTGTTTCTCTGTTACGCTTTGATAGTTTTGCTCACTTATGTTTCTTAATTTTAGCATTGTGATTATTTATTTCTTTGATATTTGTTTGAATAGGCTACATCCAATTTAATTTTTCATGTTGACAATTGAAATGTCATAAGATAAATATAATCTAAAGCCAATTTGAATTTTTATGTCATTTGGACCGACATAAAACCAAGTTTGACCTGAGAAAGTATAGCACTACAAAAGTGAAAACACTTGAAATAAAGCATTATAAAAGGAAGGCGAATAATAAATAAGCCAAGAAGATTAATTTAATTTGGGCTAAAATGACAGAAAAGAGTTCATAAAAATTATAAACAAAAGATTAATGCTAAAAGCATCAACATAAGAATATAAAAGCAGTAAAAAGAGTTTATAAAAATCCCTTCTAAAGATTCCTAATTTTACTGAAAAATTAAACTATTGTATAATAATTCAGAAAATATTATCTTTTACTACTTCTGTTTTATTTTTTATTGAGCTAAGATCAATCATTCTTCATCTTTATCTTTTTCCTTAGGTAATTCTAGCGTAGCGTCTTCATCGTCTATATTGACTATGATATGAGGCTGGAGTTGGATTTCTTATGTTGTTACCTTTCCCTAGGGTCATTCATCTTTTGTCTTCTCATCTAACTTCACAAAGAAGTTGAATATATTTCCGATGTTCACTAACTTCTGACAATACAAACTTTGATTTTTTCCTATTTTAATAAGAATACATGTTAATCTCATATATTTAGAATTTTTTGTGCTTTTAATTTATTAGTTAAATAAAGTTAGGAGTTATCTCTTTTTTCTATGCAATGAATTTTTCTGCTATGAATCCAATAAAAGTTTCAACTATGTCAAAAATATTACCTTTGCTCTGTCCATGCCATTTTCTACAAGGATCTGAACTAAATACTTGTATTTTACAAAGGCAATTTATTTTAGATTTTAAAGCTAATATTTAATTTTGATATATTTATTTCATGAAAAAGGGTTATCATTTAACATTGGTACTACGTTATTAGTGATTCTACAACATTTATCATTTGGACGCTCATTATTAACATCTCTATCCACATTATTGTTGTAGCCTTTGTAAATATAGAACCACGGCTCAACTCTATTATAAATGGTAGTTATCTTGCCTTAAAGGGACAATAAGAGTGTTTGTATATTGGTAAATTATTGTTAGGTTCAATTGTATAAATTTAGAATAGGTTTTCTAAGATCATACCTCTTTCAAATGTCATGATGGTTGTATATGTCAATAATTTGAATTTATGTTGTATTTATTAAGAGCCATAATGAAGATGCTTTTGTCTTGGCAGCTTATTTTAAAAGGACTCTACATATTAGCTTAAAAATATAATATTTTTTACTGTGTTATATACATGTTTGCTTAGTTTACTTCCTATTCTCATATTTTTTCCGTAAGTTGTATCTTTGTGTTGATTATATTATTGACGCAATTTACGATGATATGCATATCTCTCTATAAATTTGAGACAGATATAAGGTGAATTTTATATTTAGTGACATTTAATAAAAATTTTAGTAATAAAATATGTTACCTTCATATTTAGAGATCTTGAAATCTAATAGTGCTATTACATCATATATTATCTTTGATTGTATCCTTAATAATTTATTCTTTGTTAGTAGTTATATCCCCTAAATAAGGTCACACGCAGGGTAGTTGTAGGCATATAAAAATGCCTATAAGTATCCGTATACAGCTCGAGACGAAGAGAAGATGACGAACGTCGCTATCCGAGTCTAAGAGGATTATCTGACGCCAACAAGTGTATGAATCGGAATGACGAACCAACTGTGTCTCGTGCGCTCACCTGCCGCCTCCAATTAGTCGTCACGCTCGTTAGTCAACTCGCGCACATCAGTCAGCTCCAAGTGACCGAGCACGCTCGCCAGTCATCTCGTGTGCGTCGGTTAGATCCAAAGTGCCCACCGTACTTGTCAGTCAGATGCAAAGTGCCCGACGTGCTTGTTGGTCAGTTTCAAGTGCTGTAAAGAAGCTAACGAACACATGAAGCAAGTTAACGATGCGTGCAAGTCAACAAGACGATTAAATACACAAAATAGTAGAAAATACAAGTCCTGAAAAATTGGAAAACACTAAAAAGTTTAGCAAAGGCCAAACTTCCCGTGCCCGCGCGGGTCAGACGCAGCCGACCCGCGCCCCCCGCGGGTCACCAGTAAGGCCAAACTTCCCGTGCCCGCGCGGGTCAGACGCAGCCGACCCGCGCCCCCCGCGGGTCACCAGTGCCCGTCGCGCAGATTTTATCCCTAAACTTATTTTCGACGGGTTTTAAGCGGTTTTTGCAGGATTTATCCATTCCAGGGATTCCCAACTGACTTGATATCATCCACAAACATAGTTAGGTCGTTATTAACTGAAGATAAGGTCAAATCACTCATTTTTATCCAAATACCCCCAACCGAAACCTATAAATACAGGCCTAGGGGCTCATTTCACAGGGGCGGAGATGAAGAGGGCGAAATGCTGTCGAATTGGAGAGTGGAGCCATGAATTTATAACGAGGGTTAGCAGATCTTAGAGAATTCCTGTGCATAAAGAGTGAAGTTCGAGAGATCTGAGACTCGTCCCCTATTCCTCCAGATTTAAGCTTAGTCTTAATCTCGAGAAGAGCCATAATCTCGCTTGATCGGGATTACCGCTGTAACGATTACTTCCTTCATGAAGTAAGAGCTTTGATTAACTTAATCTGTCAACCGAATCTGATTCGTGGTGGTCCACGGATATTAACGTCCCCGACACAGGCGAAGTTCCCACGCAAGCAGTGGGTGATAAACGTCTGTTACGCTATTTGATAAGAGTTGTACTATTTTACATTTTCATTGTATAAGTCGATCTTATAAAAAGATCTACTTTTCTCGTTTATTTGAGTTTATTATAACGACCAAAGTTGTAATAGATTCAAAGCAATAAAAATATCAACTTTTGACCCAAACACACTGGCGACCACAGTGGGAGTCAACAGCCTTTCTGCGAAGGCTGATGTGTCGTAACCTCGGATCCGGATCCCGATTGAAGAAGAGGTCAAGTACAAGTTTGGCCAACAGAAGTTCGAGGAGTATCCGTCGTTCTCCTCCTCCAGATCCTCCTCCACTCGCAAGCGCAGAAAGATCAACGCCCCCATTGCTACGGTAGCGACACCTTGCAACGTCTCTCTGGCCTTCAACAAGTCTGGATCTACAGATCTGGACTCCTCCTCAATCAATGAGTTGAGTACTGAAGGTGCGCCAATCTTATCGAAGAGGGCACGTCAAAGGCAACGTCAACGCCTCGCGCGCTAGCTAGCCAAAGCTTTAGAGCCAATCGATGGGATCTGTTATAAGTCAGATCTAAATTTTAGGAAGTGTCAAGCACCCTAACAGTGAGCAAACGCCCCCCTCCTCCAAATCATCAATAAGCGAATGGATCCAAGTCAAAAGGATCCATTCAACTCTTGAGGAGCGAATCCAGAAGCACCGCGTACTGCTTGCGCACGCGCAAATTCTTATGCAAAAGGTACAAAAGATGAAGAAGGACATAACCAAGAAATAACCAAGACTGTATCAAACTTGGAGGCCAAAGTCCAAGACAGTGGCCAAAAAGATCAAAAATTACGGGTCACTCAAGTCTGACCCTTCAAGCCGCGGGTCACTCAAGTTTGACCCTCCAAGCCGTGGGTCACTCAAGTCTGACCCTCTAACCTGCGGGTCACTCAAGTCTGACCCTCCTAGCCGTGAGTCACTCAAGTCCGACCCTCCAAGTCCCGGGTTACTCATGTCTGACCCTCCAAGTCGTGGGTCACTCATGTCACCCGCCCAGCCGCGGGTCACTCAAGTCTGAACCTCCCAGCCACGGGTCACTCAAGTCTGACCCTCCCAGCTACGGGTCACTCAAGTCTGACCTTCCAAGCCGTGGGTCACTCAGGTCTGACTCTCCAAGCCGCGG